TATGCTCAGTGAAATAAGCCAGTCACCAAACCCCCCCCCAAATATAGTAAGATTTAGATGAGGTAGGGGTGCCTGGGTGGCTCAGTACGTTAAAGCCTCTGTCTTCGGCTCAGGTCATGGCCCCGGGGTCCTGGGATCGAGCCCTGCTTCCCCCTCTCTCTCTGCCTGCCTCTCTGCCTGCTTGTGATCTCTGTCAAATAACTAAATAAAATCTTAAACAAAAAAAAAAAGACTTAAAGATTTAGATGAGGTATCTAAAGTAGTCGAATTTGTAGCAACAGAAAGTACACATGTGGCTGCCAAGGGAGGGTGGCAGACAATGGGGGGTGGTTTAATGGGTGTAGAGTTTCAGTTTTGCAAGACAAAAGACTTCTGAACTGGTTGCACAACAGTGTGAATATACTTAATACTACTGAGCTGAATGTTTAGAAATGGTTGAGATGGTAAATTTTTTTTTCTAAGATGTTAAATTTTGTTATTTTACTATCATTAAAAAGAAAAACATAGCTAATTACAATCTGTAGAAACACTCTAATCTTTTTTTTTTTTTAAAGATTTTATTTATTTGAGAGAGAGAACAAGCTGGGAGGAGAGGCAGCGGAGAAGAGAGAAGCTGACTCCCCACTGAGCAGGGAGCCTCAGGGTTTGATCCCAGGACCCAGAGATCATGACCTGAGCAGAAGGCAGACACTTAACCATTGAGCCACCCAGGTGCCCCAAAACTTCTTTTTAGTCTATGAGCTCATCCTTCTTTCTCTGTATGTTATAAACCTGCTAACAAATAGGAAAACCAATGTCTGGTTTGGGTTTCCTCTTTTTCATATACAAAGCCCTTCTTCCTGTAGAGGTGCCATAGCTCAGATCATCCTTCCCCACACCTGACTGCACCCAAACCAACACACCCTGACTGGGAAGGTTGATGGATAAGGCCGACCAAAATAACATACGTGAGATACAGTGTCTGCATGGTAGTAAATCAATCAAAGGAATTCAAAACTCCACTCAATTGCTGAATCAACTCATCCTCATATTTGGGAGAATTAAGAAGGAAGGTAATGTTGTTCTCTCATGTAAATATGAAACTAGAATACAGAGTTCCTAAGATGCATACTTCCATCCTATACTACAATCACTGTCTTACAAAGGTCTTATAGTACTTGACTGGTATGCAGCCTCATTTAGAACCTAGAACTCCTGAAAGTTGAAATATTCGTTTTAGTTACAACTATTTGTTTAATTGAAACAAACTATATGCTTTGAAATTTTTTCTATTAAAAAAAATGTATAGGGAACATAAGGACACCAGGTCCAATATTCATAAACAGAGGATAGTTTGAATGAGCTTACTGGCAGGAAATGGCTTAAGTCATTTCCAAAGTTGTATTCTGTTGTGCAGATCAGTGGTCAGCCTGCCCTAGGTTAACTAGTTGAACACAGATGGAGAGAGAAGGGAGTAGGAAGACTTTTCACACACCCATTTCAAGAAAGACAAAACTGAATGTAATTAGTGGATTTATAGAACAGACAAATTAAGTTCGGGAGTGATGATTCACTTTTTCAAAGATTTTCAATGGCTTTCCTTTATAATGAGAGTTGCTGGGATGCCTGGGAGTCTCAGTCAGTTAAGCGACAGCCTTCAGCTCAGATCATGATCCTGGAGTCCCAGGATGGAGTCCCACATCAGGCTCCTTGCTCAGTGGGGAGTCTGCTTCTCCCTCTGACCCTCCTTCCTCTCATGCTCTCTCTCTCCCTCTCATTCTGTGTCTCAAATAAATAAATCTTAAAAAAAAAAAAGTTGCCATAATGTATTTAAAACATAGTTCCATTTATAGACGTCTGATTTCAATTTGACTATTAAGAAGTATCAAACTTGGGGGCACCTGGGTGGCTCAGTCGGTTGAGCATTGGACTCTCAGTTTTGGCCCAGGTCATGATCTCAGGGTGGTGGGATCAACCCGTTATGGGCTCCATGTTCAGTGAGGAGTCTGCTTGAAGATTCTTTCCCTCTGCCCCACTCCCCCCAGCTTGCATGCAAGCACACAGTCTCTCAAATAAACAAATAAATCTTAAATAAAACAAAAACAAAAAGGCATCAAACTTGAATAAAAGGAAGTTTTTATTATGAAGAGAGGAGGAAGCAGGCTCCCAGCTGAGCAGAGAGCCCGACGCGGGGCTCAATCCCAGGACCCTGAGACCATGACCTGAACCGAAGGCAGCGGCTTAACCCACTGAGCCACCCAGGTGCCCCATGTAATTGGTTTTATAGAGAGCAATACCTTAAGTAAAAAAGTGAACTTACAATCTACTATTGTCAATGAAACAAACATTTCATAAATTTGCAAGTGTATCAGAAACATTTAGGCATAAAGCATTTATGGAATGCTAGACATGGGAGGGGGGAACTAAAGAAGTAACTTCAAAGGGTTTCTCAGGTGCAACAAGGTAGATGAAGTGACCAGCTGTTTAAGAGCCTGTGAATGGGCAAAGCGTGCCAATCCTTTTTTTTAAATTTTTATTTAAACTCAGTTAACATATAGTGTACTATTCTTTTCAAGGTCAGAATTTAGTGATTTAGCAGTTGCATGTAACACCCAGTGCTCATTACACCCCATGCCCTCCTTAATGCCCGTCACCAGAAAGTGTGCCAGCATTCTGGCCAGTTAATCTCCTTGTGTTCGTTGCCCCCTTGCCCACAGCCCTTACGCATAGCTTTTCCTGTGGTTTCTGCATCTACATTGCAATCCTCAGATTCCAAACCAGAGCTGCAAAAGAAGGGACACACTGGAGACTGAGATTAAGACTCAGGACTAAGAAGACAAAGCGTCAAAATTTAGTCACCTGTGCATCCTCACCTTTGTTATAGATTATGAGAATACAAAAATATGGAAATATTAACTATTAACCTTAAAAATAGAAGTTGTTACTTTTCCCATGGAAGTGGATTTGGGAATAGCAGAGAATTGCAGTTTGGGACACGCAAGCAATGGCAAGACCACAGGCAAGTCCAACACACAAAGGAGAGGAACGTGGTTTTGTGGACAAGGAGGAAGTTGGGAGGGTTGTTCTGAAGCAAAATCCACTGGAGAAACACGGGAGTTCAGGGTGGCAGTGGTTTGTCCCCAGCCGCACTGCCAGGGAGCTCACTTCTATAGGAGATGCAATGTCCACCTTTCCCTGTGGGGGCCTGGAATTTGGGATCCTTCCCTGGGGAGGGTTCTTCTGTTGGGTCTGTGATTGATTTTGAGTGGCCCGACTCCCCCTCCCCTTCTGCACCCAGAATCCACTCTGGTGGGGTTTCCCTTTATTGATTTTAACAAGCACGACCTTTAAAAAGTTTTTATTTTGAAATAATTGCAAGATAGTACAAGGAACTCTTGTATACTCTTCATCAGATTCACAATTTGTTAACATTTATATTTGCTTTATTAATCTCATTCTCCAATGAACCATTTGAGATCAAATTGAATCTGCCCCTTGACCTCAAAATACTTCAATGTGTATTTCCTAAGAATAAGGACATTTTCTTCCAAGAGCACAATAAAATTAACCAAATCAAAAAAATGTAATGATTACAATACTATCTAATATATAACCCATATTCAAATTTTGCCTATTGTCACAATGTTCTTTTTAGCTATTTTTCCTAATCCAGGATCCAATTCAAGATCACCTATGAATGTAGCTGTCTTACCTCCTTAGTCTCTTTTAATCTGACACAAATACTTAGTCTTTGTCTTTCAAGACAGTAATGTTTTTGAAGAGCATGAAACAATTAATCAGATTTGCCTGCCTCAAATAAAGGTTATGCTTGCTTTTTTCTTTTTTTCAGGAGTACTATTTCGTGTCACGTTCTTTTCAGGATATCCTATCAGAAGGTGCATGATGTTCATTCCTCTCAAAACGCCTGATATTAGTGTTAATGACTTGATCACGGCAGTTGTCCACCAACCTTCTCTACTGCAAACTTATTTATCTTTGTAATTAACATGTAATTTATGGGGAGTTATTTTGAGACTACCTAAATTTTACGTTCCACGTCATACCTTTACTTTCTCCTTAGAGCATTTTTTTATGACTCTTGCCTAAACCAACGTTTACATTGAGATACAATTCCCATGGTGTACAACCACTTTAACATACTGGTTTTAGTGTACTCACAAGGTTGTGCACCCACGCTATCTAACCCGGAAGCATCTTCACCCCGGCAGGATGCCTCTCCCTCCACTCTGCAGGTGCCTCCGCCCTAACCACTCCTCCCGCCCTCCGCTTCACCTCCCCAGGAGAACCCCAGCCCCAGAACAGGACACCACTCCCTCTTTCCACCCCCCCAGCAGGACTCCTCTCCCTCCCCTCCATCCCCAGCAGGACTCCTCTCCTTGCCCCACCTCCCTCCCCCAGCAGGACTCCGGCCGCCCAGCAGGGGTCCCCTCCCTACTCTCCATCCCCCGGCAGGACCCGGGGGCCGCAGCAGGACGCCCCTCCCTCCCTCCAGCCCCAGAGCCCGAAAACCGCCCCTCCGCCCTCCGAGCACTTGGCGGCTGCAGACGGTCCCAGACCAATGTTGTCCTCTGGGTCTGGCTTCTTTCTTTTAGCATGAAGTTTTCAAGGTCCCTGTACACGGTGGCTTTAGTCAGTACTTCACTCCTCGTCATTCGCCTAAAGGTACCATTACCTCATTCTCCACAAACGACGACGCGTCCACACCCGCAAGGCAACACTACTCTCCCCGCCCCGTGTCAGGAGGCGCGCCAAGAAAACCGCACCGGCGGACTGCACTCTAACCGACAGGGCTCCCTCGCCCTCCGGTCCCTGCCGGCCTCGGGTCAGAGAGCCTCCAAAGATCGCCTTCCCGGGAAAGACACCCCCTGGCCGCACCGCCACGGGGACCAACCGCAACTCAAGCGGATTCCGCCGCAGGCCACCGCGCAGGCTCCACCCCTCCGGGACCCCGCCCGGCTGCCCGAGGCGGAAGTGACGTACCGGAAGCGCCCTAGTCCCCTTGCAGCGGGGGGAAGGAATCAAACCCCCAAGATGGCGGCGGCGTCGGAGGAGCGGATGGCTGAGGAAGGAGGCGGTGGCCACGGCGACGGCGGCCCCTCTTCGGCCATCGGCTCTACCCAGCGACTCCCCCCCCCGCCCCCGCCCCCGGCCCCGCAGCCGGGCTCCCAGGCGCCCCCAGCCCAGGCGCTGGCTCCCGACCAGCTGCCTCAAAACAACACGCTGGTGGCGCTGCCCATCGTAGCCATCGAGAACATCCTCAGCTTTATGTCCTACGACGAAATTAGTCAGCTCCGCCTGGTGAGGCCCCCGCGGGACCCCCGCCGCCCCCTCCGCCGGCCGAGGTCTGGGGAGGGGCGGAGAGGGGAGCGCGTCCCCCGGGGAGGGAGCCGCAGCCGGCTCCAGGACGCGGAGTCCCGGCGCCGGGCGGCGGGGTCATCCCTCCTCCCCTTCCTGCCGCGGAGCTAGGGGGCTCGCTGCCCCGGCCCGGAAGCGGGGCGGCGGCTGGAGTTGGGCGTCCCAGCGCCGCCGGGCCCGAGCGCCGGCTTCGCGGCTCGGGTCGCCGCCTTTTGTGCACCAGCGTCCAGCCCCCGGCCGGGCCCAGCCAGGTTTGGTCGGTCCGCAGAAATCACGCACTGTGTCCCCCACTTCCCCCCCAATCCCGACCCAGGTTTCCCGGTTGGAGAAGATGAAGTAGGGTCGGGGAGGCCTCCCCAAACGCGGTGGGGGCTCCGAGGGGCGTGAACGCCATTTGGTGGCCCCAGCTCCCCAGGTGACCAGTAAAGTAGAGCCCACCGAGAGCGCGTCCGGCTCGGCCTCGCCCCGACACTTCCCACCCTCGGGGAGCACCTCGCCCCTGGACAGGGTTGGTTTCTCTTGCAGTTCATTTTCTAACTAGTGACTTAAGCCCACCCACCAGCTTCAAATCACAGTAGTTCAGTGATTTATAGAAAGGAGGAATTTACCTCGCTCCACAGCGTGGACTGAAGGTTTGATGAATGTCTTAGTTCAGTTAAGATCTTTGGCTTCCTGTCGGGGAATTTATCTTTAAGTGGGAAGGAAATTGAAGGAGGTGGACATTTTGAAGGGACTCTGTGCCGACTCTGTGTAGGAGCTCAATCTGCTTGGGATTGTTTTTAAGAGGACAAAGACATATTTCTGAATGTAGTGTGTACAGCATTTTCTCGTTCGTGTGCCACATTTTAGGTTTACACCTCCAGTTTAAATTTGATTCTAATTGCGTTTTGGAAAGGAAATCATACTTTTAAAAGAAAGTTTATTAATTTTGATTCAAACTGATGACCAGGTTTTTCTTTTCTAGTCAGCCCAGCAGTTCTACCACGCCAGTCTGCAGAATGGAAGATTCTTCAGTTGAAAAATCGTTTATCAAAATTGATTGTCCCTGCATTCCCCAAACATGTCATCCTAGAATTCCGTATAGAATCTTAAATAGTCCTTCCGATTTTTATGAAGGGTGGTGTTTGCTCAAGATTCATGCTGTATGTTCACAGTGTCTGGAAATTGGGCATAACATTTGATTGAATTGAGCCTCTCAGCCAGACAATGGCTTTGTAAAGCTTGGAGTATTCACAGTTCTGTTTTGTAAGTGTTGGGGAACACTGGTTTTTTTGTTCATTTGTCAGTCGTTTACCTTTTTAAAAATTAAAAACATTTTTTGGGGGGGAAACTAGCTTCTTTGGACATCCCACTGTTTATTAATGAATGACATCTCTTTCAAGTGAAATACTCAGTTGCATTCTTAATTTTAAAGCAGTCATCTCTTCTAGCCTTTTAGGGTACAGATTTGTGGTTTCAAACAGATTTTTCATAAGGAGCCCCTTACCATCCCCTGTGCCCCCCCCCCAAAAGATTCTGCAGTCAATTTTATGTCCCAGAGAGGGTCTTTCCCCTCTGGTTTAGTAATGAACTATTTTCTTATTCTTTTGTTTGCTTAAGGTTAATAGATAATTTGTAGATTAAGTGGATAATCCTTTGTGGTTATTTGGAAATGTCTTTCGTTTCAGATTGATCAGTTTGGGGTCATAAGGTACAATTCAGGTAGCATTATAAAAGAAAGATTTTTTTCTTGCCACTAGATGTCAGCATTAATTTAATTGTGGCCTCTTAATGACATTGGCAGGGTAGAAACTGTGCCTGGTTCCTGCTTTCCTTATATCTAAAGGGCTCTTTGCCAGAAAAAAATCAAGGAACATTAGTACGTATGCTGCTATCTGGAGTACACATTATCCAGCTCCTTTCATTTTAAGTATTTTTTTTTAGTGGGATTAGGCTGGATATGCTTGGAAGAGAGTGATATTAATTAAGAATAGAATTAGTTTCCATGAAGCTAAATGTCAACAGATCAGTGGTTGATGAACTAGTGTATGTATTGTTTGGATGTTTCAGTTTTTTTTTTCTCTCCAGTTTACTTGACTTATTAGGAACTCAGTTGTAACTGTGGTTAGCACCTAAATTAGAAGACAGGCACATAAGCCATGTACTCATTACTCTGTATTTTCTTTAAAAGATGTGCTCTTGGTTGAGATTGCTAACGTAACATTTTTCAGTTCGTTGTGCAGTTTAGTTGATGGTAGTCTTTGCTTCGTGTTGCCATGAATAATTGAAATTTGACTCTCCAGTTCTTTCCAAGGGATTATCCAAATGCCTTACTGAATTGTTGGTTTGTTTGTTCATTTTTCCTGCCATTGATGCTCCAAAAATGTATCCAGAGCCTAGAAATCTTGATTACACAGAAATAGTGCTTTAAATACTTAACTCTTCCAGTGTATTTTAGATTATTTGATGGAACACAGCTTTTGAAGTGATAAAAGTTGTACTTTGAGTTGTTTTTTTCAGTAAATCAGACAAATTTGTGCTGATACAGCATTAGACTGTCACCTAGGCCCTCTTGATGGGGTGAGAGTTTTTGAAACAAGTGGCAAAGGTTAAGAAGTGAGGTCCTACCCCCAGTTCAGGTGTGTATCTAAACCAAGTTTGAGCGTTTGACTTTGATTTGTGAGCATAGTGTTATCACAGAAAAATGAATATGGAAGGCTTTTTAAAAGCTGTTTTAGAGGGATCCTATGACATTTTTTCCTGTATGGTTTGAGCTCCTATAAATTTAATGGAATCCTATTAGTGGTTCAGGACATAAATATGACTGAAGGTTAAATTCAGAAGTCTTGCTCATTATGTGGAATGAAATTTTCTGGTAGGTAACAAAATACATATATACTTTCATCCTGAGATACTTCTCAGAGCACTGTAGCTAGTTAAATCTGTTACCCATTTATAGTTCCTTTTATATCTTTTGTTCAAACATATTAGAAAATTTTAGAGAACGTTGATTGGTAGGAAAATGAGAAACCATTACTCTTTTTTTTTTTTAATTTTTTTTAAAGATTTTATTTATTTATTTGACAGAGAGAGATCACAAGTAGATGGAGAGGCAGGCAGAGAGAGAGAGAGAGAGAGAGGGAAGCAGGTTCCCTGCTGAGCAGAGAGCCCGACGCGGGACTCGATCCCAGGACCCTGAGATCATGACCCGAGCCGAAGGCAGCAGCTTAACCCACTGAGCCACCCAGGCGCCCCAAAACCATTATTCTTTTTTTAATAGGCACGCTGTCTTCCTTACATCTCTTGCTGTGTGCCAGTAGTTTTCAATTTTTTTTAATTTTTTTTTAAACCTCAGGACATCTTTATACTCTTAAGTTACTGAAGACCCTAAGAGCTTACCTTAGAAAATTCTAGAAGACACAGGAAGAGACAGTATATTCTTCATTAGTTGCCAGAAAAATGTTGTCATGTGTTGTGTTGCCACTAGAAAAGTCCATTGTATATTATGGCGGAATGAGAGTAGAAATGGCAAATAACGTCTTCGATTTATGAAACTAGTTTGGCCCCACAGACTCTCAAAAGGATCTTGGGATAAAAAATTAAAAATTTAAAAAAAAAAAAAAAGGATCTTGGGAATCCCAGGGGTACCTAGACCACACTTTGAGAACCACAGCTCTTTGCTGCATTGTTATGGAGAATATAATCTCTGCATTGATGATTTCTGGTTTTTCCCCCACCATCTCCTCATTGGGTTATTTTTACTAACAGATACTTGAGTACAGGTTGGAGAGTATAATATTTAGGAGACAGTTCATTTTTTCCTGCAGATTCTATCCAAAAATGAAGGGGTTCAACCAGTAACCCTGCCCAGAATATCATGAGGACAGAATGGACACACCTTCCTTGAGCACACTTAGAACGCACCAGGATAACAAATGCAAAGATAAGAAATACAGGACAGTTGAGGTTGAGGTTAATCAGAAGCATTTAATCAGAGGGACTTCCTCAAGATAATGAGTTTTTATCCAGTTTATCTTTAGTAAAGGTGAGAGAACATTCCCAGCAGAAAAGAAATGAAGTCTATGTAGTGAAGTGATTGGAGCAGGGTGACTGTGATTAGAGCCATGAGGTGATTGTCTGAAGTGTCAGATGTCCTAGATTGGTGCTCAACTCTCCCCTTTCCACTTTTTTTTTTTTTAAGTGCTCAGACTGGCCAGGTTTAAGAAACTTTTGAGGACCTACAGCTTTGATACCTTTTGCTGTGGGAAGTAAGGAAGGATGTTAGAAAACAACTTCCACCTCTTAACACCATCATCGCCTCCTAACAAGATGCACTTGCATACCCTGGTCAGCAGAGCAGTGGGATGGCCTGTGCTCATGATGTTTGAGACTTGGAGCTAAAGATAGCCCCTAACTGAGGTTTCTCCCAACCACCTAGCATCTTGGACTTAAGCTTGCTGGAAACAGGCATCATCAAGCTGTTGTGTTTCCAGACATGCTAGGCCTCTCACAGCTGGGGCTGCCTCTGCCTGCAGCCTCTCCTTGGTCTCCCTTCCTAGAACCTATCTGTACCTGCAGAATACACCTGAAGTGTCAGGGCCTCAGTAAAGCCTCTGTGACTCTTCTGTGACCCTCACCGGGTAGTACTTCTGAGTTCCCAGGCAAGTGGTTATACTTACGGATTCTACTGGAATTGTCTTTGGAGGGGCCAGTTCCACAGTGAATTTAGGCTCCTTGTTCCCTTTTATCAGGAATCCCAATGACCTTCCAAAGTCTGTGATACAATGTGAGTACTCAGCATTCGTTGAGTAAATGAAGTAGTTCTTAAAAACACTGCACTGCTCCAAGTAAAGGATAGAAAATAAATGTCATTGTGAAATAAATGTGTTTTCTGTATATGGAAAATGCGCTGCTTCATATTTACCTCAAACAGAGGAGAGTAGAATTTTTTTAAATTTAAGGCC